TGATGTGTTTGTTCATGTGTATGCTGGTGCACATTTTCATGTGTGTGGGCACACAGGTGTACATGAGTTTGGACACTAACAGTCTACTGCGAGTGTCATTATCGAGCCCCAGGAATCTACCTGTCTCCACTACAGAGCTCTGCAATTGGAAGTGAGTACCCGCATGCCTAGCCTTTTATGTGGGTAACTTGGAGCCTCATGTTTACAAGGCAAGTGTTTTACTGGTTGCAGTATCACTACCAGGCCATCACGTTGGCATTTTTATCTTGATAAAATACAGGGCGGTGTGTTAGCTGCCCTCCTTGCCGGTGTGACTGAACACATGACAGAAGTGACTTAAGGGAGGAAGGATTTATTTTGGCTCATGGTTTAGAGGGCACAGCCTGCCCTAGCAGAGAAGGTATAAGGGAAGGACTCAGGATAAAACTAGCTCCTATTCAGAACAGTGGGAGCTTGTAGCTTGCTTGCTGACATTTCAACCAATCAGAGAATAAAGACAACTCCAAACAAAAACAGCCACAGTATAACCCTCAAGGGTCCAACCCAGGATCCTCCTCCTGCCAACTTCTCTAGTTGCACCACAAGCTGAGGGCTGAATGTCACAGACACGCGAGCTTGTGGGGAACTTTCCATATTAGAGCCATAATGTGAAGTTTGGAGGGTAGGTGTCCCGTACAGGCCCAGGTGCTGAAGACTTATCCTGAAGCCTCACACTACTGTGGGATGCTAGAGCCTTTCAGAAGCAGGACCCAGAGGAAGTGGAGTCACTGAGGGCACACCCTTGAATAGAACAACAAGACCTCAGTCTCTTTCTCTTTTTCACTTGACCACACAAGCAGATTTTCTCTGCCATAGCATATTTTTCTCTTCTTGCACCTGATAGGCCCAAAAGCAACAAGAAAAAAACAATTATTGGTTGACACCACAAAACCGTGAGCCAGGATAAACCTCATTTTTCTCCATCACTTCTTTATCTCAGGCATTTGTTACAATCAGAGAAACCTGAATGACATGGAAAATGTTGGCATAATTCAACCTTTGCTTGCAGGAAGTAAGCTTCATAATGTGTTAATTGCTTATGCTGAGTGGGAAGCTGTAAGGTGAACTGCGTCTATTTTAAGTAAAGTAGGTGGTTTAAATGACTACATTTCAAATAAAATTTCACTTCAGTAGTTCTCTAAATCTTTCTCTAAATGTTTCCATTATGGTTGGTAAAATAGACTAATAAACAGCTCTCCCTAAGTCTGATCATGCTCTGAAAAGAAATGAGAGGCCATCCTGAGGGTCTGGGATGTTACTATTTATTTTAGAAGTTTATATGCATTATCTTTTTTTCAAGTGTGCATTCGAGCACCTTCAGATTTCCATTCTCTCAGAGAAACCAGGGAACTCATAACAGCTTATCTACAGCCACCATTTTCCCACTAATCTACCACCCAAAGACTGTATTAATAGTTTATATTCTGTGCTTTTATACACATCATGTCAACATAGCCTCCATGTTTATGATAGTATTAAGCCATCATATAGGTCGAGCAGTTTAGATTACACAGTGATAACTCTCTCCCTTTTGTTGTTAAAGCCCCCCACATTCCAGTGGAAGATCACACATCCAAGAATATTTGGGCAGCACAAATTGGTCTTGTTGGGTTTTGAAAACAAAACAAAAAGAACACAAAGTTGTGTAGATAGTGGTAGAGACTGGATCTGGGAAAAGTAGGCAAAGGGATAGTGAATATGATCAAGACTCTCAAAAAATAACAAAAAATTTTAACAACAGCTTCAGGTTATTGTTTACCCAGAAAATTATCTGTGAAAAGAAGCTTAGAGTGAAAGTGAGAACAAGTTTAGTTTGTTGTAAGGAAATGTCTAGACTACAGAATTCTGTATTCTGTGCGGTGAGATGACTCAGTAGGTAAAGGTGCTTGCCAACAAGGCTGATGACTTTAGGCTCCACATGGGAAGGAGAGAACCTGATTCCTACAGGTTGTCCTATTAGCATGCTATGGGTGTATGTATTCTCTCTCTCTCTCTCTCTCTCTCTCTCCCTCTCTCTCTCTCTCTCTTCTCTCTTCTCTCTTTCTCTTTCTCTCTCCCTCAACCTTCTCCCCTCTCTCTCTCCTTCCCTCCCCTTCTCCTTCCCTCTCCCTCCCTCTCCTTCTTCCTCTGTCTTTCTCTCCCTCTCCATCTGTCTATCTATCTCTGTCTGTCTATCTATCTATCTATCTATCTATCTATCTATCTATCTATCTATCTATCTATCTATCTATCTATCTATCTATCTATCTCGGCAGAGTTTCTCACTAGCCTGGAATTTACTGAGCAGGCTGTTCAGTGAGCCCCAGAAATCTTGCCTTATCTGCTTCCCACTGTTGCGATTACAATTGCACACCGCCACACCTGGATTTTAACATAGACTCTTGATCTAACTGAGGTCTCCATGCTTTTAAGGCAAGTACTGCCTATGCCACCTCCTGAACTCCCACATAGACAAAATACTATATGACATAAAATGGTATGATATTAATTATAGTAATGATTTATGTAACAAATAGTGTATCAAAATATTTATAGCTCCTGGGTCATAATTTCGAATGAAGTGGGTTTTTGTCAAATGACTGCAATTTTACCAGTTATCTAGAGAAAGCCCAAAGCTAGAAGTTGTAGTCTACTTAGAGAAGACACAAGGTAGAAGTTAGGAATGGGGCACAGGAGAGGTCTGTACATTGGACAGTTAAATCCAGTCACCTGTAGTAGGCAAAGCAGATGCATTAACAGTAGCAACAGAAAGGGAAAGAGTGGGATGGAGCCAGAGCCAAGGGAGCAGAGCTGGCGATCATACAGCACAAAGCACACACTGTTGTTCCCTGCACACTCGTTTTAGAAGCTCTGAGAACAACCCTGTTCTAGAAGTGATGGAAGTTGGCTTTGGCAATGAAGTCAGTTATTCAAGACCCTAAAATAAAACTATGCTGGAAATTTTGTTCAGGGTCAGAATTTTCCCTCTGAAACCCAGATTTCCTTTACTCCAGTTTATTATTGGATAGGGAGCCATTTTGTCATCTTCCCCATTATCTGTGCTTAATTCACTTCTGTGAGGGAAGATGAATCTTTGACATCTAGTTTTCAGTTTCTCTCATTTTGCTGAGAGCACAAAGCCAGTGCTCTGATTATAACCTTTTTGATGCCTTTTAATTGGAAAGACACATCTGCACAGAAGACCGCATCCACAGTTGGTTGTGTAACACACCCATTTTGTGCATTCTCACTTCCATCTTTCTTTTTCTCTCATCTAGGCATCCTTGTTATGGTCCTCTTTGCCCTTAGGTAAAGTCATATGGATGGAAACTCTTTCAACCCTCTTGAGCATTTGGGGATTGGGGAAATTCCCTGATGGTACCAAATGATGTCTGCATGGATAGTTTAGACTAGCAAGGCAGACTATATTTCATAAAGGCTCAGTTCCCTCATGGAAGTATAAATGAAGTCAGAGTCTTTATGTGAATAAACATCTGTGTCCATGTCCCAACAAAACTTCATAGAGCCTGTTATTTGAAATAAAACAACTTATGCAATTCTTTTTTTTTCTGAGCTGAGAATTGAACCCAGGACCTTATGCTAATTAGTCAAGCACTCTACCACTGAGCTAAATTCATAGCCTAAACTTATGCAATTCTTATGACTTGTTTAAAGATGTAAAATCATTCTTAATTCACAGGCTGTACAGAAGCAGGCAGTGAGCTTCATGCTCCCCTGCTCTGGACCACACAGCACCGAGCTGCTTTTCTAAAGGGTGAATCATTGGAGCCTCCAAGCCAGCTGTTTCCCTACATTCCAGAATAATTGCTGCTAGCTCCCAATTTCCCAGCTCTTGATTACCTATAGAAGTCCTATATACTGTGATAATTTCAATTTCCTTGCATTTCTGCAGTTCTTCCCCTGGGCATCCCAGGATGAGGAAAGGTGTCTCAGTCAATTACCAAGCTAGTGTCTAATCTAGAACAAGAGTATTGTTTTCTCTTGGTAAAATTTCATTATTTAAACATGTCAGTCTTTGAAGAGATTTTCTAATTAAACTAATTTAAACAACTAACATGGAATTGTTAAATAACATATTTGAATTTCATTCAAATAATTTTTCAAATACTTCATTCTATTTTTTACTTCTTGGGAATGTGTTCAAACAAGAAGATAACATTGGCCAGTAAATTACAAGATAGACAAATGTGTGAATTCAGATCCTGACAATTACACGCTAGTGCCTGTGGTTGTGGATACCAGACATTCTTTGTATTCACTCAGCAAATATTTGTACATGCTGGGGACTATCCTGAAGTGAGATTTTTTTTTTACATCTATGTTGAGAAACAGCAAGAACTAGAACATTTTCAAGAGCCACGGGGGCAAACAAAAGTCATTTATTTCATCGTATATGATATTCTTAACATCTGTCACTTGTGCTACCTGACCATGGAATACAAGCAAGTTTAGGGTGAAATGTGCTTTGCATGCTCTAAATGGTGTGGAATCCAACCCATGGGATTTGTAAAACAAGATGGTGAGCTACACTGAAGTTTTGTTATCAAGACTAAATGAAATATCATATATAGGAATTAGCATAATTCTCAGGACATACCAAATCCTTATCAGAGGATAGGTTTGCTTTTTGTTCAATTTGCTTCTTACTGATAAATTTATGTCTTCCCAGAAACATTGTAGCAATTTTCTACTACAACATTTCTTAATCATACTTAGCATTGAACTAAATTTATTTCTTAGTCATACTTTACACTGACTAAATAAGCAGTATGTTCTCATGGCTATACTTCACACTGTGAGCAAAACAGAGGTATGTAAATGAAGGTCCTTCCTGTGACTTTTTTTTTTTGGTCAAACATCTATTACTACTATTATGATGCAGCTTGAAAAGACATTCTTGTGAAAATGATATTACTGATGCCTGTTGACTGATTTTGTAATTGTTTTTTGTGTCCATTTAGATATGACTGGTGATGGCATTTACTTCAGTTCTGAGTTGCTCAGTGGACTGTGGATTGAGTGAACCATATCCTTTTCCATCATGATACACAACAGAAAGTCTCTCCACTTGTAGGTATTTTTTATTCAGCTTTGTTTATGTGATCATGTAATTGAGATCTGTTTTTAAAGTATAAATTTATAATGAAAATTGTCCACCGCGTTGATAGTATGAAATGTGATTGTAATTAGTCTCTCAGTTTCAATTCATTGTAAGATGAAGGCATACCCTAAAATACACCTGAATTAAATATGAATAAATCAGTAGGGTGCTGTGATAGCTGATCTTGGTTGTCAACCTGACACATCTGGGGAGATGAAAAGCTCAATTGAGGAACTGCCTACATCACATTGGCCTATGGGCATATCTGTGGGGTATTTTTATGATTAATATGATGTCAGAGGGTCCTGGCCACTGTGGGTGGTACCATTCCTAGGCAGGCAGACTTAGGCTGTATAAAAAAGCTAGCAATCCAGTGGGAAGCATTCCTCCATGGTCTCTGCTTCAGTTCCTGCCTCCAGATTCCTGGCTTGAGTTCTTTCTTTGGATTTCCTAGATGATAGACTATAACTTATAAACCAGGTAAACCCGTTCGTTTCTCAGACTGCTGTTAGTCAACTTTTGTCATAGCAACAGAGCCTCATACTAGGAAATTTAGCTCTGTTAAGTGAATATAAAAAGCCATTGGAAAATTTCAGTATCTTCTGGTTCTTTATTACTGTATAACTACAACTGAAATAAGTCTGCCTTTTAGCTAGTTTAATACTTTGAAGCAGTTTAGTTTTATTCCAACAAGACATTCATGTGCTTCTACTTACCCACATCCTATTGATAACTGGTGGATTGTATCTACGGTGTTATAAGAAGGAAATTGTACTCTGAGGACTATACTTGTAGTTTTGGCTTCATTTATCACCCAATTAGTCAGCTATTCTCCAAGCTTTGGATTTCTCTGAAAAATGAAAGAATCATAAAATAATAATTTCTCCTTCACCTAAATTCCTAAGACTATTCTGACAGTCAAATGAAGGAATGAATATGAAATTCTGATTTAGCTGTAAGACTCAAGTTTTATGAACAGGAGATGTTGCTTAGATAGTGGAGTGCTTACCTACCATAAACAAGGCCATGGGTACCATTCCCAGCACTACCTAGACTGGCATCATAGGACATGCCTGAAAACCCAGCACTATGGAGGTGGAGGCAGAAGAACCATGTATTCAAAGTCATCCTAGGCTGTGTATTGAGTTCAGGACCAACTGAGACTACATGAGATCCTATCTCAAAAAAAGAAAGAAAGAAAGAAAAGGAAAGGAAACAAGGAAACAAAACAACAAAATGAGTTTTATCTGCTGCTAATTTACAAGTGGGGAGAGGGAAAGAGTTGTAACCACCATGTTTTAAAGTATTTAAAATAATAGAGCTTCATATTTTGTATACTACCCACCTAAAAGATACATTATTAAAGGAATAATTTGTGGTCCATATTCATTTCATGCATATGAGAAAATACATAAAAATATGAGTTTTTCAATGTCAAGAAAATACCAAAGAAAAACACTGAAAAGAGCAAAGATTCAGGTTTTTCAATTTTTTTGAGATTATGATATAATTACATCATTTTCCCTTCCCTTTCTTCCCTCCAAACCCTCTCTTGTACTCCTCGCTCTCTTTCAAACTCATGGCCTCTTTTTCTTTAATTTTTGTTATGTACATGTATTGCGTGTGTATTCCTAAATATATAAATACCACCTTCTCTGTTTGTATAATGTTACTCATATGTATACGTTTTCAGAAATGGCCACTTGTCTGAAAATCTGCTGTGTGTTTTTGAGGGGGTGGCCAAGCAAAGCTGCTCGCCTTGTGACTAAGCAAGCATTTACCCTCTATGACTTTAGTGTTCCTGTGTGTGTGTAATGGAACTAGTAATAAGACACTTTAACTTATCACACAGTGTGGATTGTAGAAGTTAATATAAATAGGCAAGTAGCTCACTGGTCCTGTTAGAGAGTGCTTAGTGTTCAGTGCTTGGGGAATATGGAATCACCATCAGGGGAGCAGTCCCTAAGATCAGAAAGCTCCAAAGTCCTGTGTCCATTGACCGTAGAACCTAGAATGGTCATTAAATCTTTTGACATCTCCATTTCTGAGAAATAAAATGGAGATAATTGCATTCTACTCCATGATGCTTTTGTTAAGATGTCTTAAGCAAGCCTCTGAGGAATACTCACAGCTACAGCCTTAACTAGATATTTTAAAGATATAATAAAAAAATATAACATAGTATGATTTTCAAGTAGAAATCAGATCTCTTGACTTTGAAAGTGTTCTTGCTATATACTATATTTAGGAGATTTTAAGAAAGCTGTAACTGATTTCATGATTTCTTTTCTTAGATATGTAAATCTTGAATTTTATTATTTATATAAGTATGGGGACACATGTACCATGGTGTTCCTATAGTGGAGTCCATTTTCTCCTTCTACCATGTGTGTCCCACAGATCAAGGTCAAGTCTTTAGTCTTGTTGGTATGAACCTTTTCCTGCAGCACCATCTCATCATCTTGCATATTGAGTTTTTGTTTTTTTTTCTTTTTAAGATAGCAAGTAATACAAATCAAGTTACAAATTGCAAACCTACCTTGAATATACCATCCCATATAAAAAATAAAATTAAGCCAGGCATGGTGATACATGTCTGGAACCCCACCCAGCATATTAAGGAGGCTGAGGCAAAGGGACTTCCAGGACAGCCTAGATTGCATAGAGATTATCAGGTTAGCCAGGATTATATTTTAAAACTGTGTGTCAGAAGACTGATAGGTCTGGTGTGATCACTCAGTGGGTGAAGGCACTTGTGACCAGACCTAGGGAACTTGAGTTCATTCCCAAAAACCTACACAATGAAAGGAGAAAACTGATTTCCACAAGTTGTCCTCTGACCTTTGTAAACATGCTGAGGAATGTGGGCCTGTACACATAACACACACACACACACACACACACACACACACACACACACACACACACAAAGTAATATACAGACAGACAGACAGATGAGTGATAGATGTAAGCCAACAGAGGTTGTAAGCAGGAGAGCTATGTTTTCTTTGTTATTAAGTTTGGGTTGTTACCACACTTCAAACTATTCATTTGTTTTGTTGTTCAGGAGAGGAAAAAGGGAAGAAAGGAGGTAAAATGTAGACCACATCACAAAACTAAGGGGAAAGACGGCTTAAACTTTCACTTTCCTAATCACATACTCAGCATCGGATATTAAACGTGTCTTGTTAAGAACAAACATCCAATATTGTCCTCTGCACTTGCGTTGGATATAATTCAGTAGTTCATAATGGGTGGCATTTTCCAAATGAGTCATGATTTGTTCCCAAGGTGGGAAGTGCTGATAACGAGGGTGGTAACAGAGCCAAGCTCGTGAACCCACGCTTTGTGTCCATGTCTGTAGTTCAGCAGTTGCCAACCTGAAGGCTCTCACTCACGCCAGAAAGCCATGGCCTGTCCCCCGCACATGTTAATTATAAACCACCTGAAACAGCCAAACAGTGTTTGGTTTTGCCACCTCTGGATCCACCCACATTACCAGCCAGAGAGTTTCACATGTAAATTCCATCTGACTTTTAATTCAGGTCATGATGTTATCTGTGGCTTCTGTGTGTGCTCTGTCCGTCTTGTTTGTTTTTTCAGTAGGGTTTTCCATGAAGAGAGCTGTGGTGGTTGTGGAGGAAGCTGCTGAGAATAATGACTCTGGGGGTATAGTCCTATGCACCATGGCCATAGCATGTGGCCACTGCTTCACTATCTCTAAGTAGGGACCCTGTAAAGAGATGTCATTGGTCTACTTTCCCTACTCCCTGTGCCTTTCCACATTTACAGTCTCTTAGTGTTCAAAGCATTCACATTTTACTGTCTCATTAGACATTAGGCTACAAGGATAAGAATAAGTGGGGTCATTAGTTTGCAATACCAGCCTTATTAAATAGAGTCTCGTGAATTCCTACTTATTTTTACTGATTAATGGCCATTCTATTTGTGATGTTTTCCCTAAAGTTTATTTGCGACTTTAGAAGTTTCCCTCTGTTTAAATTAAATTGATTAAATTGGGTTTCAATCTAATACTTGTTTTTTAAAAAAGCATCTCTAAAAACACACAAAAAAATCAATGAAATGTGTCATTCAGTGTAGAAATGGACAGAGCTCAGTGAAGACATGGGGTATTCAGACTTTGAACTTTAATGTAAATTGGAGACAGAAAGTAAATAAAATCTTTATCAGTAGGATTTAAAGAATTAGTTGAAAAGATGTAGACATAATTAAGCATAGTGTTATCATGGGAGAGGAAAGGGAAGACGACATAGCGTTATCATGGGAGAGGCAAGATGAGTCTCTTAATGTGAGAACCTACTAAGTGGCTGGATATGTGGCTCAGACTGTAGAATACTTGCATAGCATGTGTCACTCCTTGGGTTCAATCCCCAGCATGGTATGTGAGTACCTGGAAGGTAGAAACAGAAGGATCAGAAGTTCAAGATCAACCTCAATTTCATAGCCAGTTCTAGGACAGCCTAAGTGAACTTCCTGATAGTAGAACTGACGAGCTCTGCATTCTCTGAAAGTTATATGGGGAGCTCAAGTGTGGGCTGTCAATCTTTTTTGCCTCTTTGCTGAATTCTACTTAAAAGCACTTTAACGTAGTACCTGTCATGACCACACATGTGGTGCATCAATCAAACTCCTGTTCTATCTTGCAAACTCAGTTTACAGACTTTGCCATCCATGGAAACTCTCTCAGTGTTCCTCTTAAATCTGGCTTTTCCCTCCTATGTTTCCCTCTCTGTGATGTGTCCATCCCTATATTGTAGATCAAGCTCCGTTATTTTACAGTGATTGATACACAAATCATCTGTCCTGTTACTCTGTTGGCTTATTGAAGTCAGTCTCTGTCTTAATTATTCTTGTTTCCTAATGTCTTTCAATATGCACTTACTGATTAAATTCATGATGCCAGTGAACACCCTGTGACCTTAGAGTGAACAGAAAATAACTTTGTTTGATATGGTTCAAATATTTCTAGGAAAGTCTTTGATATGGATATTATTTATAAATTATTATTAATCTAAATCTAAACATTTATAACCAAGAAAATTTTTTAAAAAGTCTCCTTCAACATATCCCAGGTTTATATCCCATTAACTAATTTTAGCAAGAGATTTTAAGTGTCTTAAAAATGTTTAAGTCAGCTGGACTTAGTGGTTTATACCTACAATCCTCTCACTTGAGAAGCAAAAGCAAAAGAATCAAGAGTTCAAGGGCATCTTCAGCTACACAGCCAGTTCCAGGTCAGCCTGGCCTACATGAGACCCTGTAGTTGAAAGTTTTCTTCAGTCCTGCCTAGCAGTCCCACAGCTGCTTATAAAACAATCACTTGGAGACTTCATATTATTTACAAACTGCATGGCCTATGGCAGGCTTCTTGCTAGCTAGCTCTTATGATTTAACTCAACCCATAACTATTAATCTATGTATCACCATGTGTTCCATAGCTTTACTGGTCTGCTGGCATGTTGCTTCTTTGGCAGCAGGCTGGCATCTGTCTGCCTCTGCCTTTCTTTCCTGTATCTCTCCTTGTATTTCCCACCTGCCTCTAAGCTGCCTTGCCATAGGCCAAAGCAGCTTATTTATTAATCAATGAAAACAACATATGTTCACAGCATACAGAAAGACATCCCCCAGCAAGACCCCATCTCAAAAACTCACAAGAAGGGAGGCTGACAGAGATGGCTCAGCAGTTAAAAAGCACATGCTGCTACTCCTGAGGACCCAAATTCAGTACCAACATCCACATCTCAGGCTCACAAGCACCTGTAATTCCATCTCCAGGGGGGCAGAAACCTTCTCCTGGCCTCCATGCACATGCACTCACATGCACATACTCCACATGGCCACATACACATGATTAAAAATAAGTTGTTTTTAAAAAAAATCAAAAGAAAGGTAAAAGTAAATGTAGAGTTGACTCTGCTACCTTCTCAGTTTATCAATAAGCATATTATTTTTAGAATCAGCCTCTCAACAACCATATAGTTTCCAACTTCATGTTAGCTCAGAACAGAATGATTACCTCTAATCAAATTTCTAAGAAAATAGTTTTTAATGTTTATTTCATCATAATAATTATTGAATTTATTGTAATTGTTTTTGTCCAACACTTCCAAACTGAGATCATCATGAAGTATTATTAGTCATTTAATTTATATGCATATGCACATGTGCCTGAGTATGTGTACAGTGCCCATGCAGACAAGAAGAGGGTATCAATACCCTACACAAGAGTTACAAATAGTTGTAAGCCATCATGTGGGTGCTGAGAACTGAATCCAGGTCCTCTGCAAGAACTAAATACACTCTTAACTACCTAAGCCATCTCTATAGCTCCCCATAAAATATTTTTAAAGTACACATATGAAAGCAGCTATTTGTATATATAAACATTCATATGTTAGAGAAAAAGCACGTGTATGCTTTATCTAAATACTTAAAATACATATTTCATATGTCCAAGAAAGAATCATATTAATCTGGTTTTCTAAGTGTGGACAATGTATATGTTAGGGATTTTTAAACATCCGTGTATGTCTGAGCTATTTATTTTAAAATACAGTGACAAATAACAGAACTAAAACAAAAAAAGACCCTACAGCAATGAATAAGAAACTAAATATCACATAGAGAAGGACTTAAAATTGTTCAGTGCATATTATCAAATTGTACCATTCTGCAGTTTTGACAAGAAAGACTACTTATTCCATTAACATGATGTTTTTCCTTAATATGTATGGTAGGGAGGGAAGCATACATGTGTCACGGTGCACCTGTGAAGTTGAGGGGACATTTGGGTATCTGTTCACTCCAAAAGGTTTCTGGAAGTGGAACTCAGGTCCACAGACTTGTGTAGTAAATGCTTTCACATTGTGAGCCATCTCACCTGCCCTAAAATGGTGCTTTCAGTCTCAGCAAGCCCCTTGGCACCTTACTGTATACCAGTCATACACAGTGAGGCCAGTCTGAGCTGATATGTTCAAATTATTAAGAAGCAAAAATTACATCAAGCAGCTCAGCCACTCTACGTGGCTATAGATAGGTAAGTGGAAGGACTAAGCTAACAAAGACATTTTTAAGAGAGGAAATTGGGCTGACAGTGTGCACTGGTATTCAGTGTGTGGGCTATTTTAGATTGACATGCATCCAGTGCAAAGAGGTAATCTTGAATGAATTATATATAAAGAATATTCATCTGGTTATGTAAGCAGAAATATAAGAGTTATGTAGGCATTAGCACACTGTTAAAGCTTTGCATGTTCAAGTAGTTTGAGAGGTATAGCAAGAATAATTCAATTATATGTTTTTATTATTCCCAGAGATGATACTTGGCAACGCTCTGGGTTGTTTCCAAGTAGTATTTTCAGTTTCTATTTAATGTGCTTCAAGTTTAAAATGTTTTATTGACTGGTTTTAACATATTTTTTACTAAAGGACATACAGTTGTGCATTGAAATTGGATAGCAATGTCCACCATCTGCCGAGTTTGTGACTAGGCAGTGAGGTGTCTTAGACATTCAGTCATTTGTTATCACAAAGAGAAGATGCAAATTGCGTGAAGTACACTGTATAGGTAGCCAGGAAAAAGCATGTGAAAAGTAAGGGAACAGAATGTGCATATGTGTCCACCTGTGTGTGTCTGTGTTTGTGTGTGCCCGTATTTTGTGTGTGTGCATGTTCGTGCTTATGTGATTGTGTGTGCATGTGTGCATAAGGTGAGTGTGTGTATGTGATCTTTGTGTGTATATGTTAGTCTGCTCGTGTATGTGGAAAAGGAAATATTAAATACCTGTATTCCTTTACAACTAGTAATATATAAAGATTATTTTTCTTTTTAATTAATTTACTTATGTATGTGTACATGGTGGGGGATGCAGATGTCATAACACAAGTGGAGATCAGAAGACAACTTTATGGAGTTGATTATCTACTTCCAAGTTTAGTTGGGGTCTGAGAATTAAATCTAGATCTTCAGGTTTTACAGCAAACACTTTTACCTCCTGAGTTATCTCAGATGGCCCATTTGGGTTTACTTGTCTTACAGCTGTATTGGGCATCACCCATGCTGGACTACTGCTCCCCAATGGACACACACGCACACCAATAAAGTTGACCTGAAACAACTGCATCTCCTTTTTATAAGTGAAAGAATCCATGCATGTAACTTTCTTCCAAGTGTCACTTCACATTACAAAACTTGGCACCATTACTCACTAAACTTCAGATGCTAATCATATCCAAATAGTGTTTCAGCATGGTGCCCATGTCTTGTTTTTCAAAGGGTACATATATTTCTGTGATTGCTCTATTCATCCTAATATTTAGAACTGTCATAGAAGCTAAAGTAGAAATCCTCAGGACTGTCATGATGAGATTGTACTGAAAAGAACTGTTATGGTGACTGGAGGCAGACAGAAAACCACCGGTGAGGAAACCCTGCCAACTTCATAACAACAACAAAACAAATTGGGCAATTGTTTTTGTTGTCTAGTCTAAATTCAGAACTGTCTGTGCTGACTCATGGAGTTAATACCACATATTGAGTTTTTATTACCAGTCAGAAAACAGAGCTATGCAAATAGGGCTATTGATCTGTACACATTCCTGAATCTGAAGTGTAATTGGGATGTATGTTTAAAAGCTTATGTCAAAGCAACAGTTCAAACACTGGAAAAACAAGTGATCAGCCACATTGCTCTACCAGGCCAGTTTTCTAACAGAAGGGTTAATCAATCATTTTTAGTGATTTTGAGATACAACCTAATGATCTCTTTATTAGGCTTAGCAAGTCAAGTAAGTGTCATACTTACTCACTAGACTGCAGTGACACTGTTTGGCCCATTTATCCTGGGGGAAATGGGAAGCATAACTATGCATGTGCTCTAAAACAGTATCTCCTTGAGGCTGGCCAGATGGCCAGATGGCTCAGTGGGTAAGAGCACTTGCTGTGCAAATATAAGGACCTGAGTTTGGGTCTCAGCACCCATTAAAAGTTGAGTATGGCTCTACATGTGCCTGTAACGCCAATGATGGGTGGGGAGCAAAAATAGGAGAATAGCTGGGGCTTGCTGACCTCTAGCCTTGCTCAGGTTTAAGGAGAGACCCTGTCTCAAGAGAATAAGGTGAAGAGCAATAGAGAAGGATACATGATGTCCTCCACTGTCCTCTGCACACACAGGCTGATGTAACTATGCACACATCTGAGCATACACCACACACACATACTACAATCATGCATGCACACACATATGCACAACAAAAATTTTAAAATATATATGTTTTTGTCTCTCCGTGAAACACAGATTCATGTCTGGGAGCTTAGCTATGTTTTAAGTTCTCTGAATATATGATTTCAGTGGCTTTCTCAAATCAAGATATTCACCTTTTAATGCTCAA